CATACATCAGTTCATACAAATCTTCCCAGGTTTCTCTGAAACTACCTTAAACCTAGCTTTTCTCTTGGCACTCTCCCCAAGACTGGCCACTTCCCTCCCAATCCTTGACACTCAGCTTCATGAGGAGGGGTTGGCTCACTCCTGGTTTCCCGCTTTCAGTTTCAGGCCCCCTCTCTGTCATGACCACTCAGTGGTTACCTCTTCACTTTCAATCCTGCCTGCCTCCTTGTTGCTGACATCTAGGAATCTCCAGGTTATTTTTCCTCCTTCCTAGGAAGTTCAGTATCTGGGTCACAGTTTTCTTCTCTGCCCCAATCCCCCAAAATACTCACCATGGCTTTCAGGTTCCTTAGCCTCCTTTATTTTCATGACCTCTGGTCTCCTATCTTGTCCAGCTCTACATAGGAGCAATCACACCTTAGGAACCTCAGTTTCTTGCAATTCAATTTGTACCAGCTGCTGAAATGCCTAGTGAAGGCTTTGCAGATGTTCACAGCTAGCTGATGGAAGAACTTTCAGTGGTCATCCATCCATTGATTGGGGGGAGGGTCCCTCGAATCCTAAAGCACCCCATTCTACTTTGGGCCAGCTCTAATGATAACCAGTCATCACTATCATCATCGTCATCATCATTGCTAACATTTAAACAATGTTTACTATATGCCAGGCACCGTGCTAAGTTCTTTACAATTATTATTCCATTCTTATGACAATCCTTCGAGGTAGGTGCAATTATTATCCCCATTTAGCAGATGAAGAAATAGGGCCAAACAAAGATTAAGTGACTTACTCAGGGTCACACAGCTAGTAAGTATCTGAATCTGGATTTGAACTCAGGTCTACCTGACTCCACTGAGCCATCTAGCTGTCTTAGCCTACTATAAGCACTGGCTGGCCCCAGATGTCAAACCATGCTCCATCTTCAAAGCTTATTCAGCTATCCAGACATTTAACCCATCTTAAACCCTGTCTGCCACTAAGTGTGAACCCCTCTCACTCCCTCCCCTTCACTCTTGATTTCTACCTTTTTATATACCTCTAATGTTTTGTCTTCTACTCTTAGAAAATAAGTCCCCCCAATAAGAAAGAAAGAAAGAAAAGAAAGAAAGAAAGAAAGAAAGAAAGAAAGAAAGAAAGAAAGAAAGAAAGAAAGAAAGAAAGAAAGAAAGAAAGAAAGAAGGTTGCTTCAGCTGTTCTCCCAAGTCAGGATCCACTGCTCAGTTGCATTCCTGAAACAAGATGGTGAAGGTTGGAGTGGCCATCAATAACTCCTTCATTGACCTCAACTACATGGTTGATATATGCAGGTTCAAGGGCACTGTGGAAACTGAGAATGGAAAGCTGGTGATCAATGGAAAAGCCATTACCATCTTCCAGGAGTGAGATCCCACCAGTATTAAATGGGGAGACACTGGAGCTGAGTATATTCTACATAGAGTCTAGATAGTTGTCTTTACCACCATGGAAAAGGCCAGAGCCACGTGAAGGGTGGTGCTAATGGGGTCATTATCTCTGCCCTTTCTGCTGATTCCCCAATGTTCATGATAGGAGTGAACCGTGAGAAATACGACAATTTCCTTTAGATTGTCAGTAATGCCTCCTGCACTACCAACTGCTTGGCCCTCTTGGCCAACATAGTTCTTTTTTTGCCTTTTTTTTTTGATGAGACAATGGGGTTAAGTGAGTTGCCCAGGATCACACAGCTAGCTACTAAGTGTCAAGTGTCTGAGGCTGGATTTGAACTCAGGTCCTCCTGACTCCAAGGCCAGAACTCTATCCACTGCATCATCTAGCTGCCCCTTGGCCAACATAATGACATCTTTGGCATTGTTGAAGGATTCATGACCACAGTCCATGCCATTACCGCAACCAAGAAGACATAGATGGTCCTCTGGCAAGCTGTAGTATGATGGGCATGGTGCTTCCCAAAACATCATTCCTGCTTCCACTGGTGCAGTAGACAAGGCATGCCCGAGCTGATGGGAAGCTCATAATTATGGCCTTTCATGTTCCTCCTCTCATTGTACCTGTTGTGGATCTGACTTGCCCTCTGAAGAAACTTACCAAATATGATGGTGTCTAGAAAATGGTAAAGCAAGCATCAGAGGGACCCTTGAAGGGCATCTTGGTCTACACAGAGGCCTAGGTTGTATCTTGTGACTTTAACAGCGACACCCACTCTTCTACCTTTAATGCTGGTGCTGTATTGCCCTCACCGTCCATTTTGTCAAGCTCGTTTCCTGGTATAACAATGAATATGTTTATAGCAATCATGTAGTACACCTCATGGTCTACATGACCTTCAAGAAGCAAAATGGAAAACCATGGATCTTCATCCCCAGCCAAAAAAGGGGTTCCTCCACTGAGGAGCCCACATCTCTAACCTATGTTCCAATGCCCCATTCACACCCTTGCCCCAAAGCACCTCTGTAGTAGGAGGGAGAAGCCTAGAGTCCTATATTGTGTACCATCAATAAAGTCACCATATTCAGTACAAAAAGAAAGGAAGACAGAAAAAGAAAAAAGGAAAGAAAAGAAGCTCCTTGTGGGCAGAGACTGTCTCTCTTTTTATATTTGTATCTCTAGCACTTAAACCCAGTGCTTGGCCCACAGTAAGCATGTAATAAAATTTTCATCATTCATGAATTCATTCCTTAAAACAATCTTTCACTTGGCTTAACCATCTCCTGAAACCATCACTATTTCTCCTGATTTTCATAACCAAACTCCTAGAAAAAACTGTCCACATTTAATGTCTCGACTTGCTCACTACCCATTCACTTTTCAACCCTTTCCAGTATGGCTTTTGTCCCTATTGTTCCCCAAGACTTTGCTCTCCAAAGTCACCAGTCATTTTAAAAATCCAATGGCCTTTTCTCAGCCCTCAATTGTCTTTTTTTTAATATATTTTAAAAATTTTCCCTTTTTTAATTTATTTATTTTGATTTATCAATAATCACTTCCATATGCTTTTGAGTTTAAAATTTTTCTCCCCCTTCCTCCCCACCACCCACCCCAAGATGGCGCACAATCTGATATAGGCTATATATTTATATTTCTATTAAACGTATTTTCACATTAGTGATATTGTAAGGAGGAACCATCACAAAAGTCCTCAATGTTCTTGACTTCTCTATAGCATTGAATAGGCATCTCCACCTGATGTTCTATAGGCATCTCAGACTTGACATGTTCAAAATGGAACTTGCCATCTTTCCCCATAGCCCTCCAACCTGCCTCTTCCTAGCTTCTGTCAAGGGCACTGCCATCCTTCCAGTTATCCAGATTGGCAGCCCTGGTGCCATCTTGGATTCCTCATTCTTCACTTCCCATGCCCAATCCGTTGCCAAATCTGGTCGATTCTACCTCCTCAGCGTCTCTAGCCTCCCATTCCCTCCTCTCCATTTAGGTAGCCTCCACTCTGGTCCAGGCCCAGGTATCCTGCTTCCCACCCCAGGGCCCTTTCCCCCCACCCCATGCAGGATTATTATTTTTGTTCTTGTGGGACCTGCTGACCCAGCACATCCTGCGCACCTAAGGAAGGATATGGTTCTAAGTGTCAGGTCTTTCTGACACTAACCTATTGTCTACCTCACCATCGTGCTGTGTCTCCCTAATGCCAGTGGAAGAAGAGGCTGGTGGAGACTCTCGCCTTGTACCACAGCTGGAAGAAACTCAGGTGCTCTGTCCTTGAGAGGAGGGGCTCTACTGAGGGATGCTGGGCAATGTCTGGGAGGCCTGGGGAGGAGTCCAGCTCCTTCATTGGTGGCAGTATTAATCTGTGGACTGGTATTGGCCCATATGTGGTTTTGGGAGCCCGACCTAGGATTCTGACTGCAGGTTAGCAGGAACTACATAGAAAGGGCCCTTTGCTGATTTCTTATTAGCTCAGTTACCTTAGACAAATCACTTAACCTCTGAGCCTCAGTCTCCTCATCTGGAAAATGGGGCCAATGACACTTGTACTTTTCACCTCTTTGTTGTTGAGAAGATAGGGCTTTGCAAACTGCTACGTATAGATGTGAGTTACTTTATCCTCCCTAGCCAGAATCAAATGAGACCATAAACCCTGAGTACTCTGTAAACTATAAAGCTTTACTAGACATCATCGTCATTACTTGGCCCACATCAAGGCTTGGCAGCCTGCTTGCTGGTACACCCCCCCCCCCAAAGAGAGCAGAACCAACTCCAGGAATGAGCATTCGGGCTCACGAGCACAAACCCTGCTCTTCCCCATCCCCTCAGTAGACATGCCTTCCAAGCCTTTTCCTCATTACTCCTTTCATTGAAGACCTGATAGATTCTGTCCAAGAGCACTGTTAGAACTTTGCCTTAATTCCCTGAGCAGAGGCCCTTGGGATATTTGGCCATGCCTGCGATCTGCTCAGGCTGTTGGGGGCAGAGGCTCCAGTGGCTTCCCCTTCTCCCCCCCCCCCCAGTCTCCACCAAATGCTGGAAATCCCCTGAGTAATGAGATCGCTGACCAGGGCCAAGGCCAAGGTCAAGGGAGGGGGAGGGAGATGTCCTTAAGTCTGAATCAGCCTAGAGGTGTGTGTGTGGGGGGCCAGCACCTCTCAGGTCCCCTAGACTGACCGCGGCAGCGTTCTGGATCTGGTTTGTTGTCTGAATACCGATCCACTGCTCGATGTCTGTGGGGGCTCGTGTAAAAAAGGATACAGGAAAGGACCTGGGTTCAAATTCTACTTGTGCCAGTTAGTTGCTTTGGGGCCTTGGGCAAATTGCTTCTGGGGCCTGGTTTCCTTCTCTGTAAAATGAAGGGGCTCATTTCTAAGATTCCTTGTAACATTAAGCCCTGGGATCTTAGGATGAGCAGAGACTGTGGGGAGCTGGGATCTCTGCCCTGGGGGAGTCTTGGCTTCTGGGTCTGGCAAGGAGAAACTAAGAAGTTTCAAATGACGCTTCAGGATTTTCTCTGTTGGTGAACACTGGGTGTGTCCCTGGATGTTGGGACCCAGGATTTCTCCTCCCCTCCCTGCATGTACAAACCTGCTGTGTTCTAAAGCTGCCCAGTCCCCAGAACCTTCTCTGCTGTTCCTGGTGGGAGCTCCCCTCCTCCTCTGATGGCTCCGACCCTGCCCATGGATGCCCTCTGGCAGTACCAGTTCCGCCTTATCCTTCTGGGCGACTCTACAGTGGGCAAGTCCTCCCTGCTGAGACGTTACACGGAGGGTGTCTTTGTGGACTGTATCGACCAGACAGTGGGAGTCGATTTCTACGTCCACTTTGTGGAAGTGGAGCCTGGAGTCCAGGTGAAGCTGCAGTTCTGGGACACAGCCGGCCAGGAGCGATTCAGGTGACTATGTCCTAGAAGGGGCTTATCCTGTATCCCCAGTACCTGTCATTTTGTCCTTGTATGACCTTGGACAAGTCTCCCTCTCTCTCTCCCCTTGTGGAGGCCTGTTTTCTTTTCCACAGAATGAGGGGCTGGTGTTACAGGGTCTTTCAGGCCCCTTCTAGCTCCAAGATTCTAGGAAGTCAGAATACTCATGGGCTAGGATGGTGTAAGGGGCTGGACAGCTCCTGAGGCCGGTGCCAGATGGGGCTGGAAAGTGGGGTTAGAGAATGAGGGTAAGGAGGTGTAACAGCAAGAGAAAGTAGATCACGCAGCCTAGAGGAGAGAGCGCCCCATTCCAGCTGCCTCTCAGCCAGATCCTGGCTCCCAGGTAACCATAGGTCCCCAACTTGCCGAGCCCAGACTTGCTCCCTGGGGTCTGCACTCTCAGTCCCATGTGAGCAGGGCTGGGCCTCTCTTTTTTTCTCCTCTCCTCCCATTCATTCCTCTGCCAGGTGTAGCTGTAGAGCATCAGTCTGGGGTTCACTAAAGAGAGGAAATTGTGAAGAGTAGAAGGCAAATACGTGGGGGATCTGATCAGTGCCTCTTAAAGGTGGGGGGCTAGAACACAGGCAGGGTGGTTGGTCCCATCTGTACCTGGGATTAATGACTCCTTTCCACCTGCCCTTGGGGTTTGACTACGCCCCTTATTTCCTTTTAACCCTCTGCCTGCTCAGGACAGGGAACTAACTACTGAGAATATCCTGAATGTGACTGGGTAATATCAGATTTTTTTGGCCTTTCATCTCTCTCCCCCTCCTCCATCCCACAGTGCCTAGAGGAGTGCCGGGCATTCATATACTCTTGGTCTCCCTCTGCCAGTCATAGAATGCTCGTTCTTTTCTTCCAACCTTTCTTCTACAACCAGTGTTAGAGATCATCACGGGCAGGAGTTCTAGCATGGGAGAGGGAGAAACAAAACGTTGGCAAACCAGGAGTCAGAAAGACCTGAGTTTGAATTCTCCCTGACACTTAGGATCATAGATTTTGAGCTGGAAGGGACTTCCGAGGCCACCTATCAATTGATCAATCAATCAACATTTATTAAGCACCTACTATGTGCCAGGCACTATGCAAAGCCTAAAAAAAAAAAAGTCAAAAGACAGTCCCTGCCCTCAAGGAGCTTACAATCTAATGGGGGGAGACAATATGCAAATATATATACATATACATATATGTGTGTGTGGTGTGTGTGTGTGTGTGTGTGTGTGTGTGTGTGTGTATATATCTCAGTCTATATACAAGATAAACAGAAGATAATCAACAGAGGGAAGGCACTGGAATTCAGAGGGATTGGAGAAGGCTTCCTGTAGGAGGTGGGATTTTAATTGGGACTTGAAGCCAGGGAGGTCAATAGGTGGAGATGAGGGGGAAACATTCCAGGCATGTGGGATAGCCAGAGAGTCTGCCCAGAGCCAAGAGATGGAGAGTCTTATCTAGTCTGACTCACTCATTGCACAGATCTGAAAACCGAGGCCCAAGAAATTGTGACTTGCCCGAGGTCACACAGGTAAGCAGGATTTGAACCCAGGTCTTCTGATTTCAGAGCCTCTGCTCTTTCCACCTACAACTCTGCCTCCTTACTAGATGTATCACCTGGGTCAAGTCATTCAATATCTCTGAGCCTCAGTTTCCCCATAAGTAAAAAAGGGAATAAAAGCACCAAACCTTACGAGGCTATTTATTGCAAGGACCAAATGAGACCAAATGTAAATAAAGCATTATATAAATGTAAATTATTACCTTATTTTGTCTTAGTGAGGTAGGAAGGTATGATCCCGGCAATTTGATAGATGGAAACATTGGGGCAAGAGAGGTAAGGTGACTTGTAGAAGCTGTGGGAGGTCCCTTTCAATTCACCTCCCTTGCTTTCATTACCTGTGTCCCTGCACCCTTCCTTTCATGCAGAGAAGTGACTGTGTTTCTTTCTGGTGATGAAGGTCAGTGACTCGGTCTTACTACCGAAACTCAGCAGGTTGGCTGTTGCTGTTTGACGTGGCCAACCGAGCATCCTTTGAGAACATTCCCAAATGGCACCAGGAGGTCATGGAGAAAGTGAAGCCCTTTGGCATCATCCTCGTAGTGGTGGGGCACAAGAGTGACCTGGTAGCCGAGAGACAAGTGACCCCTGAGGAGGGAGAGAAGTTGGCCTCCTCACTGGGGGCCCGCTACGTGGAGACCTCAGCCAAGAGCGATAGCAACGTCACCTTGGCCGTCCAGCTGCTCACCCAGGACATCTTTGAGGCTGTGAAGAAGGGGACCATGGGCCCGAACACAGAGTGGGATGGAGTGAGGAGCCGGGTGCCGGCCCAACCCAGGCAGCAAGAGGCAAAGAACAGAGGTGGGGAGGGGTGGAAATGTCCATGCTGGTGACTCACTGAATGTCACACCGGGTTTCTGAGGTGACAGCTCCCATCTCCAGCCTTGTACATGCATGAAGCATGGTGCCTGGCCTCTTCTAGAGGGGAAGGGCTATTTCCTTTGTTTGTTTTTTCCTTCCTTCCCTCCCCCTTTCACACTAATGCTGGGCACATAGTGAGCACTCAAAAAAAAGCTTCATGACCCACTGATTTCCAGCTAACTCTCAGTTACCTGGTGGTTGACTTAGCCGCTTCCAGGGTAACTTCTTTCCACAAATATCTGCATTTGCCACAACTTTGAATGGTCAACTGTACCAAAGGGCACCACAGAATCTAATCAGTTGCTACTCACTAGCTTTGTGTTCCTGGATGAGTTGCTTCACTTCTCAGCCTTAGTTTTCCTCATCCGTAAAATGGGCCTGATTAATACCAATAAGCTAATACTTAAATTAATAAAAATAAAGTAGGATAATACCTACTTTTCTCATAGGGTTATCACGAAGATATGCAGCTTCTTGTAAAAGTGATTGGATTTATTAGGTTTCTTGGTCTTTGCTCACTGGCCCTAGTCTTTTTTTTTTGCTTTTTGGTGAGGCAATCGGGGTTGAGTGACTTGCCCAGGGTCACACAGCTAGTAATTGTCAAGTGTCTGCGTCAGGATTTGAACTCGGGTCCTCCTGTGCTCTATCCACTGCACCACCTTAGCTGCCCTGATTTCTCCTTATTCTAAGAAAGGCCCTGCCTCAGGTTTTTCAGCATCTGCCTCAAGTGGGAGCTGGAGTGAACGACTCACTGTGAATGTTGAAGTGGACAAAGCCAGAGCATGACTTAACACAGAGAGCACAGGGTCGGCAGTTTGGGAACTGCCAATGTGGCCAGCTTTACAGTCTTAGCAGGGTCAGATAGCTCCTCTGTGGCTCTGTTCCCTGACAGTCTTAGCAGGGTCAGATAGCAACTCTATGGCTCTGTTCCCTGATGACCTAAGGCAGGTCTAACCCATAATCAGCCCAGACTGCTAGACTAGGCCCTGATCCTAAAGGAGGTAGGGAACAAAGACAGTCTCGGCTGAACCCGTTTCCTGGGTTGTTCCAGCCTCAGTGATCCTGGTCATAGTAGGCTGCAATCTTGACTCTCTTAGTTGTGTGTGGCCCTTTGTACCCTCATATTTATTAGGTTTCTTGGTCTCACTGGCCCTAGTCTTAACTGCTAGTGTTCAGTCTTATCTGCTTACTCAGGATATGAAACTCCTTTGACATCAACCTAATAAATTCATGATGCCAATTCAAAACATTTTGGGTTTTTCCATTCCCTGGTTCCCTACTCTAGCGAGGAGCTGGGGCTTTGGTCTCAGAGAAGCCTTGGTGTCTGGCAACTTCAAACTGCTAGTCTGGAACTTCCCTTTGGACCACACTTTCTCCAACATCAACTAACTTCTGGAGGAATGAGCAGAGCTGGTAGAGGCGGGAAAATGCACGTGGTGGAAGAAGCAATACCAAGTTCTCTCCCAGGAAAGGAGAAAGGCCCAGCAATCCATCTGTTCCAGAGAGGTCATGCATTTGGACTGACCAGCCTTTCCCACGCTGCCTGCAACCTCTAGGCAGAGGTGTTTGTATGTCCATTCTTCCAATTTGGGTGGGGTGGATGGAATAATTGGGCCAAAACCATCATCCCATTCCCACCAGTGATTTGATTGGCTTTTGGACAGAACACTGGAAAGCTCTAAGAGTGGGTCCTGAGATCTCGAGTTAGAAATGCAATTCAGTTAGCAAACACTGCCCCCTGCTGTCTACAGTTGTCTCCTCATCCCTTCACTCTCTTCTCCCCAAAGGGGATGAAGGGGATGCACCAGGCCAGTGCACCCTGCACTGTTAGATTAATAACATCTTTATTTCTGAAAAACAAATCAAAGTCATATTCATATAAACACTGACGTTACAAAGTATGGGGAGGAAAGGGAAACAGAAACCTCTACTGTCCACCAAACAAGCCCAGGATGCTCTCTGTCCCTTGGACAACCACTTAGGATAAACCACAAACAAAACCTCCTTCGGGCTGAGATACACTGCTCCCTTCTGAGAGGGCAAGTAAAAGGAAGGGGAACTGGGACCATATAATGGCTAGGGTTTTTTTGGCAGGAGTCTCCTCAGTCACTATAGATATTGCTGTACTGTTAATAAAAATATATATGCTTCTCTTTAAAGCATAAAAAAAAATTCCACAGGCGATATTGCGGAGGCCTCTCCGGTGTCTGCGGTGTCTCCAAATGCAGTGCCGTCTTCTCCCTGCCCCTCCCATGTGTTATTTCTTGGTCGTTTTGCGGATCAAGGCCATTCTCTGAAAGAGAAAGAAAGATCACATTCAAGCTACTCACAAGGCAAAGGTGAGGCACAGGCCATAAGACCTGTAGTAGGCCTAGCACATGTTTCTGAAGCTATGGTTCTTACCTAAAACCTGACAGCGCCAACCGCACCATTTCTAACAGACCTCATGTTCCACTACACACAGGATGGGCTAACCTGCCACTGGGGGGGAGGGGCTCCATGTCCCCTGTAGCCCATCCTGGGTTGGGATGGGGCCGACTAAGGGACATGAGGACAGCTGCTTTGTCCTCCTGTGTACCTGTTTGTGAGCCTCTGTGGTGCAGGCCTTTTTGTAGGGTCGTATTTCTTCTGAACCAAAACCTGGGATCCACATATTCCACTGGCGCTCTGGAAGACAGAAGGATGCCGAGGTGAGGGTGGGAAGCCTGCTGATGGTCAGGAGGTCCTGAAATCCCAGCAGGTTGGGGCTGGGCAAGGCCTCGAGCCTCCTCTTTCATCACTGATAAGAAGAGGCTAGGCTTCTGACTACTGATTATAGAATTGCAGCCAGAAGGGACAGATGGAAAATCCTGGAAGTTTGAGAGGTTCTTGAGATAAATTAGCCAAGTTAAAGACACAGCCAAACATCTTTAATCCGGACAAAGGCATGCACGTTCACTTGTAGGTACTTTGTTTCTTGCTCACTCCCTCACTGCTGGGCACAGTCATCCCACTGGCCTCCTAGACAAGGCCACATCTGCCCATTTTTTCCACACCCTGTTGATATACTAGCACCCCTGGGCTTCTGTCCCTGGTAGTTGGGGTTTCAGCTACTTTGGTTGGGTCCTTCCCAGCCCAAAGACTGTTCTCCTTGGCAGAGAAAACAGGAGTCAAAAGAGAGCTGGGCATCTTTGCCTTCACTGTCCTTCCTTACCATCTGCTCTACCATGAGCAGTGTTCCTGTCCATTTTGGGATCTTCTCCTTCTTTCCAATACAGCTTAAAAAACCCCTTTTGTTGTACTCAGTTCTTCTGTATCCATCCAAACACTGAGGCTCTCTTCTCCTCACTTTGTCCCTATCCAATTTAGTGCTAAGTGCTGGGGGGGGAGGGGCACACAAAACACAGACAAGGAATAGTCCTTGCCTTTATGAGGTTTATGAGAAATTATAAAGGAGATAAATAACATTGTAGAGGATGTGGAAAAATAGGATCATCAATGAATTGTTGGTAGGGTTGTAAACTGGTCCAAGCATTCTGGAGAACAATTTGGAACTATGCCCAAAGGCCTATAAAACTGTGCATACCCTTTGACCCAGCAATACCACTGTGTCCCAAAGAGACCAAAGAAAAGGGAAAAGGACTCACATGTACAAAAATATTTATAGCAGCTCTTTCTGTGGTGGTAAAGAATTGGAAAGTGAGAAGATGCCCATCAATTGTGGTGTATGATTATGATGGAATACTCTTTTGTTATAAGAAATGACAAGCAGTAGGTTCAGAAAAACATGAGAAGACTTATCTGAACTGATAAAGTGAGAAGAACCAGAAGACTGTACACAGTAACAGCAACATTGTAATGATGATCACTTAGCTACTCTGATCAATACAACAATCTAAGACAATTCCAAAGGACCCATGCTGAGAAATGCTCTCCATCTCCAGAGAAAGAACTGATGAACTCCGAGGGCAAAATGAAGGATACTTATTAAACTTTATTTTCCTTGCCCTTTTCCCCCCAACATAGCTAATACGGAAATGCATTTTGCATGACTTCACATGTATACTTGATCTATTCCATGCCTTCTCAATGCATGGGGGAGGGACAGGAGGGAGGGAATTTGGAACTCAGATTTTAAAAAATGCTAAAGTACTTAAACTAAAAAGTGAAAAAAAAAAGATAAATAGAATACAAAGTGACATATAATATGCAAAGTAAAGTGTGCAAAAGTATGAGCAAAGCCTACGCAAGGTAAGAAGGGCAGAGTGAATGCCAACTTTGGGGAGCTGGGAAATCAGAGAAAGCCTTTGTGGAAGGACTTGAATTCAACATCAAGGGTGGATGTGTGACGTGGCAGTGGGAGGACAGCTACCTGGCCCTTCTTCAACCAAATCAATTCAAAGCCAGGCTGAGGGGAGAGGGCTGCCAGAGAACTCTTGGCATCTTGCTCTCTAGAGCACCAGGCTCTGTCTGGTCACATGGCTGGAGACTCACTGAGTTGACTTCAAGAGCTTATGGGCTACTTATTGATCTTGTTCTGCCCAGTAACTTGCACTGGATGCAGGTAGACATCCATAATAGGATTTGCTTTAGGAAAGTTTTTAACTTCAAAGCAGCATGGAATATTAGAAAGAGCACTAGGCTTGGAGTCCAAGGACCTGGGTTCAAACTCTGCTTCTGTCCCTTATTACCTGGATGATGTTGGAAAAGTCCCTTCCTTCTATGAACCTAGGTTTCCTCATCTGTAAAATGAGGGGTTGGCCCGTCCAACCATCAATCCATAAGCATTTGTAAAGCAATTCTTACGTGCCAGGCACTGGGCTAAGCAGGGGGAGACAAAGGCAAGGCAGGCAGATGCCCACTGGATCCCTTCTTCCAGCTCAAAGTCCACAATCCCACAGACATGGACTCAGTGAAATGCTAGTTACTTACATCATCTAGCAGGAGCCCCAGCGTCAGTAAACATGCAATATTTAACAGTAAAAATAATAACGGCCAGCATTGCTATAACACTTTAAGGTTTGCAAAGCACCTTACAATTATTATCTCATTTGATCCTCACAACAAACCTGGGAGGTGGGTGCTAAGGAAACTGAGGCAGAGGTTAAGTGACTTGCCCAAGATCTCACAGCTAACTAACTCACACAGACCTTTCAGTTCCTAGCACAAGTGCTTTGCATATAATAACCACTCACACTGACCTAAGCATTTTAGGATTTTGTTGTCCTTTAGTTGTTTTCAGTCATGTCTGACTCTCTGTGACCCCATTTGAGGTTTTCTTGGCAAAGATACTAGAGTGGTTTGCCATTTCCTTCTCCAGCTCATTTTACAGATGAGGAAACTGAGGCAAACAGGGTTAAGTGACTTGCCCAGGGTCACACAGCTGGTAAGTGTCTGAGGTCAGATTTGAACTCAGGAAGATGAGTCTTCCACCTAGGTGCCCGTTTTTAGTATTTACAAAGTACTTTTTTTCCCCACAACTGTGGATGAGAAAATGAATGTAACCGTGGCATAAATGCCCCTCCCACACAGATGTGGCCATGGGGCTCTTTGTTAAGAAGGAGGGAGAGAGAGAGAGAGAGAGAGAGAGAGAGAGAGAGAGAGAGAGAGAGTGAGTGTGTGAGTGTGTGTGTGTTGCTGTTTATGGGCAGATTCACTTATAGCTCCCCAGGATTTGGAGGCTTTCAACCTTGAAGGAATTTCCTTCTGGGAGAGGGCAGAAAAGCCTAGAGGAGAGAAAGAGAAGGAAGGGGCCACGTCTGGATGCACACTCCAAGGAGAGCCTGAAGTGGGCTTGCAGCCCCTCTGCTACCTCAGGCAGGGAGCAGCAGGACAGAGCAGACTGGGAGTGGAGGCCAGGAGCAGAGAGATATGCAGAAAAACTGGGACCAGGCATAGGAACAGAAAGCAGCTCGTGTAGAAACCTGGGACTTGTGTGACTGGTCCAGTGTGTTAATGTAAACCACAAGAGACAGTAAGGAAGTGTCTGCTCTAGGCTGGTCTCTGGGCCTTGGGCTTCTTCCTCTATAACAAGAAAGGATGGGATTACATGGTCTCTTAGGTCCCTCTCCAACTCCCATACTCTAGGATTCTCTGAACTGATTTATTGAAATCCCTGGCTCTGCAATCATGCAGTATTTACATGTACAGTGCTCTTATCCAATGCACCACCTAGCTGCTGAATGAATAATAAATGGTTTTAATATTTAATGGGATAACTTCTAGAAAATAAATAGGTCTACCTGTAGTTTGAAGTGCTAGGTGCTTAGGACTGGGTGGGAGGAACAAAACAAAACTTTGGCATGGTTCATTTACAAAAATTCTTAGATTTGCGTCAGGGTTCAGTAAATTAGAACAGCTCATGCTAGTTTTTGATTCAGATCACTGACTTACAACATGACTTTTCAGATATGGGCTTTTGTGTAAATCAAGACATGTACACTGTGTGATCTCAAAGGGCATGGGGTGGGAGGGTGGGACACAAGTACTTGGTAAGGAAAAGACCAGTACTGCCTGCTGTAGATACTGAAGCTTAAGGAAGAGCTGAACAGACCTGGGGATGCTACTCCCAGAGCCTCCCATACCTTCACCCAACGAGGAGCAGGCCTTTCCCACGCTCAGCCTCAGGCTAGGGGCTATGTTATGCTAATTCCTTGCTTTCTGGTCTCTGAAGTCACTTATTTCAGCCAGTTTTTTTTAAACAGCTAAAAACAGTTGTAATAATGCTTCCTATTTTCACATGTGTCCTATCTCTTTGGCAACAACGCAAGCTGATGAAGGCTGAAATGGTGACCCTTTTTCTATCCCCTGGCACAGAGTTGACTTTCAAGGACCTTCACACTCAGGCCCCAATAGCCCACTTTGCACAGCCTCCACTCTAACCAAAATGACTCCTTGCCAAGCCCTCAAAATGCTCATTTCCACGCTTGCTAAAATATCCTTCCCTTTGTCCCCTAGCCCACCAGCTCCTATCTCCTCTATGAAGCTTCCCCTGATCCTCCCACTCTAAATGACACCTCCCTCTTGGGACCAAAGCCCTTGGTTGGACTTTCAAATTATAGCTGGTGCTATGGCTATTTATACATGTGTCATCATTATTAGAGTATAAACTCCCAGAGGTCAGGTCCATGTCTTATTCATAGGCTCTAGGCTAGCAGGGCTAATCCACTCCCTTTGTTTTACAAAAGAAGGAACTGAGATCCAGAGAGCTTAATTGCTTTGCCCAGGAGATAACCTGGGTAACAAATGATAGAGCCAGTGCCTGAACTCAGATCTTGGAACTCCACATCCAGTAACCTCTCCCAATACTGCGCTGGCTGGGCCACGAGCCACATTCCACGACTGCTCCATGGTCTTTCTTTCCACTTACTGTGCACTCAGTAAATACCTGCTCAACTGAATTACTGAGAAAGACATGTGCTCCTCCCCACTGGACCATGTCGGTGGATTAATCCCTGAGGGCTTCAAAGACATAATAGCAGCAGCTCACATTTCCTCACAATTTTGTTAAGTCATGAGCACCAGTAACAGCTCCATTTTACAAATGAGTAAACTGAGGCTCAGAGAGGTCTCTCACCAACAGCTAACAAACATCAGGGTCAAGACCTGAATTCAGGCCTTCCAACTCCAGACCCAGTGGGTGTCCTTTCTGCTCCTGGCTGTTTCTCCCAGGGGAACCTGAGGCTTCTCTCCCCCAGTGCCCTCTATACCACGGTCAATGTTGAGTCACATCACACTGACTCCAGCCTTCTCCTCACAGACCTAGAGCAGCCAATCCACAGCATGCTTATCACTCACCTAAATGCAGCTGGACATCTTTGACCTCTAAAGTGTTAGATTTTCGATGCCGGGCCAGTTGGCATGCTGCCGTCACCACACTCTCGATGAAGTCATCGGCAATCTGAAGTAGCATCTGGAGGGGGGCGGCAGGAAAACAGGCCACATCTGAGCTCTGGCTTAAACCTCAGTGGCAGACGGGTGACTGGCAGAGACTGCTGCCTGAGCCAGACAGGATTCCTGTCAGCAGGGAGTGGGGCAGGACAGAGAAACATCATGCACCCACCAGGCTTTTACTCTGCTATTCTTACGAGCAAATGAGGGAAAATGGCATTCGCTGGACTACATGTGCCCATCTCTACCCTCTTTGGATGCCCATCACTCTTTGTCCACTCCTGGTTCAGCTGTTCCCCATCCAGGGGAAGAACTGACTGGTATTTGATCAGGCACTGCACATGTGTACAAGGAGTCCAAGAAAAGTATTGTGAGAATGAGTCACCATAAAGCCTATACAATTAGTCAAAATTCAACTGGAAAAAAAAATTTGTCATCCTGGTTGCCTGGTGTAATGCAGCTGCCTGGAAACAATGGGCAAAGGAGATAGCTGGTCTCCAACATCAGCCCGGGACTCTAACTATGACTTATTTAGTTACCCCACATTGCATGTGATCGGCTTTACTAGCCACAGGAGGGTACGCACACCCCCAGCTCTTCTGGCCTCTAACTCCTAGTTCTTCTCTCCTGTGGACCCCCTACTGGATACCATCTAAAGGAGAGGAAAACATGGTATAATGGGAAGGATTTGGAGGCAGAGCCTGACTCTGCTCCTTAATACTTTGGTGACCTTGGTGGTGAAACGGCTTTTCTCTGGGCTTTAATTTCTTCCAATGCCAAAGGGGTTGGGGGTAAATCTTGGCTCATTCTAAGGAAAAACTCTTAACAACTGCAGCCATTATGTGAAACAGGGAGCTGCTTCATCACCGGGAGTATTCAAGTAGAGACACCCAGCCTCTCAGGCTGGTTGAAGGAATTCTCAGATTGGTCAAAGGGTTAGAAAAGATCATTAGGGGTCTGGCTGTAACCAAGGCTGCTCACCCTGTCTTCACCCATCCCCTTACCTCTTCCACATCTTCATCCAGCTGTTCATTGGGATCAACTTCTCTAACCAGGTCCTGTAATTTCTTCTTTGTCAAAACCTAGTGAACAGGGAGAATTCTTAGCAATGCTTTAGGTAAATGCATAAACAGGTCATTTTAAGATGAGAGTTAAAACACATGGTTAACGTAAATTCTGCCCTTTAGCTGTTCGCCCAGCAATGCAAGACTGCAAGGTAAACCTCCACACACAGAACCTTGTTGAAACATCCCCTGCTGTTGGAGCCAGCTCTAACAGCTTCTGAGGAGCACACCTGAGGAAGAGCAGGTGAAAAGGAGAACAAGACCTTTGCACACCTGGAGAAACAATGTACCACCAGGGAGGTGTAAAGATTCTGAGAACTTGGGAATTGCAGAGATGCTTGAGGACCTCAAAAGCAGGCAAAGGCCCCCTAGGAACCATCTGAGTTCTCCTTGCTGCCCTGCACTGCCCCCAGCGGCCTCCAGGCTTTGCTGACCAAGGAGAGGTTTACGGTTAAAACTGACTTTTCATTCCCGCACAAAGGGCTTCCTTTCCGAGCTTCACTCAGAATCAACGGCCCTGCCCTTCTCCCAGGCATGCAGGCTGGAAATGCTGGGTGGGGGTGGGGGTGTCTTATCTTTGGTTTGTTTCTCACATCAAATTACTAAGTTCTTCTGATTCTTCTTTCAAAATGTGTTCAGGTATGTCCTTCCCTGACTTCATGTCTAGGTTACTGGAATAGTTTCCCAGCTTGGACCTTCCCACCTCTTCAACCCACCCTATACACCAGAGGTAACGAACTTACGACCCCTCACACTCCCAGTGCAGAACATGATGACAATGCAACTGGAAACATTTAACAAAATAAGTAAAAATACAACAGTAGATTTGGAGACCAATCTTGACTCGACCAGCTGCCACTTTTGACCTTAGGACCCCAATTAACCTCTCTGGGCCCCAACTCCCTCATCTATAAAATAGGGAGGCTAGACTAGATGAGGTCAGAGGTCCTTTTCAACTCTAAATCTACAATCCTACCCACCTCCTTACAGGCAGCTAGGTGGCTCAGTGGATAGAGTGCTGGGCTTGGAATCAGGAAGACCCGAGTTCAAATCCAACCCCAGACACTTACTTACAAGAGCAAAGTCACTTAACCTCCATTTGCCTTAGTTTCCCCAACTGTAAAGTGGAGATAATAATAACTTATACTTTGCAAGATTGTTGTTATGTTCAAACGAGATAATATTTGTAAAAAAGTGTTTAGTGCAGTATCTGACACACAGTAGGTGTATAAATGCTTCTATTTATTTTTCAGGCTTATTTCACAATCCTATGCCCAACTCCCCCTACATTCTAGCCAACTTGGACTATCTGTTTTCTGCACATGACACTGGGCCTTTGTATAGACTGTCCACCATATCTGGAACATTCTCCCTCCTTATCCCAGCTCCACCCAAGGCTCAGCTTCAGGGCCCTCTCTTCAGATCCCACCCAGCTGCTAGTGCTCTTCCCCCTCTCCCCAATTATTTCTGTATGTAATCTGTGTATGTGTCGTCTACTCTTAAATTCCTTGAGGATGAGGGCTGCCCTGTTTCTGTATCCCTAGTGCCTAATGTATTCTCCCCTTTGTGGTCTGGACCTTTAATTTCATTTGTGTAAAGACCTGTTCCCAGTGAGGACACTGCCACTGCCGATGGGCAACTATTCTGCCATTCATAGTTTTATTTTTTTTTATTTTTAGACAATTGGGGTTAAGTGACTTGCCCAGGGTCACACAGCTAGTAAGTGTCAAGTATTTTGGTCTGAGGCTGGATTTGAACTCAGGTCCTCCTGACTTCAGGGCCAGTGCTCTATCCCCTGCGCCACCTAGCTGCCCCTCCACGTATAGTTTTAGAGTGGTGACTTGCCCAGGCTAACAGCTAGAATGTCAGAGGCAGGACTTAACCCCAGCTTGTACTGACCAAGGCCAGGCCTCTCACCTGCCACATGGTAGGTACTTAATTATAGCAACTGAGGTCTCAGAATAGTGGCTAGATTAGAGAAAATAGACAACTAAATGGAGAAAGCTATGGGCTCAAACATCCTTATCCCATCCTCCTCTAATAACTTATCCCAATGCTTGTGCCCATTCCCTTTATCATAGAGAAGTAAGAGTACAGAGCACCGCACACAACACTGGCATTAGTAAACACTGAACAAAGCCCCCAGAAGCCCATGATAAGAGGACAGCTGATACCTGATTACTTTCTGGACTAAGACGCCCCCCTGCCCCCGGGGGGCCTGGCATCTTTCCCACTGTGGCACTGTTGGCCATGGACCCCTGGGGGGGGGTGCTGGAAGGTTCTGGTTTTATTGATGAAAAGTTGGAGAGGTTGATCAGGGCTGAGGGGCCAAACTGGTTCATAATCTGCCGGGCTTTGGCCTTCAGTTCATGGAGCTTGTCGAGGTCCTGTTTTTTTTTGGGATTGTGGGGACCGAGGCCAATCAACTGGGGAAAGAAAACATAAAAATATATTTCAGAAGGCTCAGTAACGAAGGATGGACATTTAAAAAAAACTGCATGTTTGTTAGATTTTCAGAACTTAAGTTCATCTGAAATGGTCATAAGTTGATACCTTTGATTATAAAAAAGGAGAAGGAAACCAATGTATAGCTTTTACCTGACATTTGGAAACCATCTCTCCTTTACTGCCTATCTGAAATAGTCTTCAGAACAGGAAGAAGGCAAATGGATCAAAGAATCAAATATAGACATTGACTGAAAAGAGCAAGATATTTCTGATGTTTATACAAAAACAGAACATCCGGTAAAGACACACGATCATTTGGGGAAAATATGTATTAAATCCAAATAACCAAAAAGGAACTCCACTTATACACCATGACCACCTCTGTAGATAGAAGCACAGTCCCAATGATTCAGAAATTAGTAATCCATGTTAACTGACACACCACGTCATGCATCGACACTCAATGCAGTTATGTTCAACACGCACAAAGTTTAACAATTTTAAGAGTAAGTTATCTTTTATCATTAATAGCAATTTTGGTTCTGTTGTTACTTTAAGGTGCCAAATCAGTCTTTTAAAAATGGCCCTGATTCTTGTTAGCATGACAAGATGGTGCACACTCAAAAACTCTGGCCAAAGATGCCACAGTCACATTAATCAGCTTACTTACAGCTATCTGAGTGTCTAGATCTTTAATTACATCAGCAACCGCTGTGAGCCCGGTGAAAGGAGGAGCAGCCATTGCCTAAATCTTTCTGAAAGTAAACGATTGGCACCAAATGCCCCCTCCTCCTATGTCAGAACTTGGGCTGTCAGGTCTTAGCCAGAGAGAGGAGGCAGTGGAGGCTGCTTGTCCTTAATGAGCACCCAAAAAATGGCCCGCTTGGCCACACGAAGCCAGTTTTATTAAGGCTTGCTGCAGGCGGTGCCCACCAGCTCCTGGAAGGGTAAATGTCTATTGTTAGGAATGAGCTCAGAGTAGATGAAACTGACAACAGCCTACCGACAGGTGGGGATATGCAGCCTAGCTGTACAACCACAGGACCTTGGGGCTAGAATCAATATCAGACCAACTCCTTTCAGAACTCTGGCAAACCCTCAGCAGTGCATGTGTACATGCGTGCATATATGTGTGTGTGTGCACACACATGCCCCTCTGTGTCCTTTCCCTGACATGACTTTAATGTGTCCCTGTTTAAAGAATGCATTCTGCCGTCTTACCTCTCAGCCACTGCTTGCTACTGGACCACTAATGAGGACTGGTTCCATGCAGGCAGACTCTGTTGCCTCACTGTGGCACAGCGGGATCCTGAGGGCTAAGCCAGCGACAAGCAACCTGCAGCCGGTTACGCCACACTAGAAAGGCTGTGTGAATAGGCCTCGTGATGCCCTATATGTCAGTCGTCCAAGGACCAGTCTTGTCCAAATATGGACTGGATGAGATAGCTTCTGAGGTCCCTTTTTTTTTTTAACCACACCAACTCATGAAAACCGTGTACAAATGGGTAGAGAGGCTGTAATCTGTGCTGCTGAAATATATATTTTGAGGTATTAAAGCAATAATGAAGAGTGTTCTGTAAGAAGCTACAAATTGGCCAGAGAACCAATGGAGATCAATACAGATGTGCTCCCTTTAAACTACACTGACTCCATGACAAATCCCACAGGTACCTGAAAGACCCTTGTTAGAGAACATAAAACCAGTGTTTTCTTTCTGCCTCTAGGCTCACGTTTCAAACACTTAGGATGAAGCTTCTAATATGTATATGCAGTATAAAAAAATGAAATTTGTGACATAGATATCTCTTTAATGGACTCTATCATGACAAGATTTGAACTGCAAGTAAACCATGGATGACAAACATAGTATACAACATAAACAATCACACAGTTAACTCAAGAGTGACCCAAAGTGGGGCAGCTAGGTAGTGCAGTGGATAGAGCTCCAGCCTTGGAGTTAGGATGACCTGAGTTCAAATCCGACTTCAGACACTTGACACTTGCTAGCTGTGTGACCCTGGGCAAGTCACTTAACCCTGATTGCCTCATCAAAAAGGAATAAGAAAAAAAGAAAAAAAAGAGTGACCCTAAGGCATAATTCCAAAGAGATTTCTCCTTCACCTACTCTCACAGCACTTTGTATTCTTACACACTTGTCAGATTCTAAACTATACTCTTATTTACCTCGCTACAATCTCACTTTTCCTACTATAAGTTAAGATCCTTGAAAACAAGGACCATATGTCACTAATCTTATTCTCTGCCCCAAGGCTGTACGCCCCACACAAGGTATGGGGCGCTTGCTAAATGAATGCACGTATTGGGAGAAGAGAAATTCAGCCATGGCTTCTAAATTCCCACAGGTGTTGTCTAAATGAGCTGCTTCTTCCCTAGATTATAACCAGGGCCTCATGATTATGCTCAAATGTCTACTGGGTGGGGTAACTAACCCCAGCTATTGAACACTTTCAGCAGCACCAACACAAGGGTGTAGCACACGCATGAAGAAACCAAGTGTGTTGTAAACAACTTGTTTTCCATAACGTAAGATACCATAGCTGTTTGCATCTCTTTTGTTTTCCCCTATTGCCAAGGAGGTTGTCAACTTACTATACAGTCCAGCTCCCTAAGTCATCTCCCCTGTGACAAAGAAGTGACCAAAACACTTATCAGGAAGTAGCCCACAGAATAGAAACAAACTCACCTCCTATGGGTGACCAGATAATACTCATCTCCAAGACAGCCACAAAATGACACCCACTTGGAGACCTATCATTTGTTATCAGATGGATCCCCTGTAGAATCTTAAGTATCCTTCACAATCCTAGCTGAATTTATAAATGGAGCCAAAGTTTACAACTAACTAAAGTGGGATGGGGGAGGTTGATATTGCCTATGAGATAATCAAATCTATTTTCTTGTCATAGTTCAATTACTCCATAGGGCTCATAAGCAACATTCTCAACTACCTTTACAAATCTTGTCAATTCTGCCTTCAAGTTTACCATGCACCCGTTTCCTCTCTTTCATTAGCACTAACTTTACATACAGACCAAATCAGCAGTAGAGAATCAATGAATTTCAAACTTCTTAGCTCAGTATTCAGAGATTTCAATAATGTGGCCTCTTCATGTTCTTAAAGAGCTAGCCTCTAAATTCCACTTCTTCATTTCTCATTTTGTTGCCCTTTAGAAGATGCCAAGAAAGCAGTAACAGTTTGGCAGGACAAATTTTTCAATTTCCTTGATGAAGGCTTACTCTTAAGGATATTTTACCCAAAACTTAATGATGTTTCTTCTTCTGACAATGATGATGATAAAGATACCTTCTTTGCTGCTGATTTTGGAGACATCCTAAAGAAATACCTGGGATGATATATGAGCATTTCTTTGAATATCTCTTTTTTATGCTTCAAATGTCACAACGGCAGAGCTAGAGAGAAAACCTTTGCCACTCTAGGGGCAGCATTGGAACGTGCTATGCTAGCCAGACTGAAATACAATTTGTGCAAAGTTCTCAGGTGCCTCCACAGAGAATCATCTAGGCATGTCCAAGCAAATGTCACAAATTAAGTACAGTGACAACAATGGAGAAAAGATGACTTCTGACAGTTAAGTCAAGTGAGTGAAAGTTGCCAGAGATCATTGGGCAAAGTTGGTTTTGCAGAATGCCACTAATGACTCCAAAGCTGTCTGCCATCTACATGATGAATTTGGTACCATTCAAAATAAGTAGGCTGTCCCTGATCCAGAAAAAAACAAAACACTGAATACAAATGTTGCTGGAGTCAGCTTCCATGTGGGAAACGACTGTACTGAACCAGAAACCTCTGTCTAAGCAGTTTCTGATGTCTGATGTATCTCTGACATAAAGGCTGAGGTTAGTTTCAACATGTATCTACTTGATATTGGTTAATGGGGGTTTATCTAGTTCTGAAGTAGTCAAGCTTAAACACTGGAAAAGTATTTTCCGTCTGAATCTAGAGTCAGAAACATATCTGACCAGAGAGATACTATGTTGCATCCCTTTTACACTTGTGGTTAATGTCATTGTCAAAAATAAAACAAAAAAACCCAACCTATATTAAAGGAATACAGAGGTTCTGATGAAGAAAATGATCAAACCTTTATGTATCATGTGAAAGATGGAGACTATCAAACACTTAATTGCATCCCATTTGATCATACATGTTAAGGCTGTTCTGTGAAAGACACGCAAACCAGATATGAAACATTACTCTTCTAGCACATGGGGACCACCAGGTGATGGCCTTGATCAAATTGCAGAATACTGTGATCTACCAGAAACACATGTGGACGGTTCTAGGCGATTTTGAAATATAGGTGCTTATACTGTTGCTACTTTCTCTTTCAATGACTTCCAGAGCCCCCTCTCTATCATGTGATGTCTGGACCAGTACAGCAATGCAGGCAACAACCCAAGAACCACAAATGTTCCAGGAAGAAGTAGCAGCCCCGGATATCGACACTCAGCCACTGTCTAATGCTTGGAAAGTAGAATGGAGCATCATTCCTTAGCATCATTTGTGCTTTAGCTAGTATCACCGTACAGAAACTGTTGACAGCCATTAATTGTAAATTTAGTTTGAACTGAGAGGGCACTAACTTAATTCTTAAGAGTGTTTAAGTGTGTTTTAAGAGCAGTGTTGACTCAAATGCAACAATATGGAAGAACAGGAGATGGGGTCACACTGTTCTAGTGGAAGCCACCGTGACATTTGTTTTATGTAGATTTCTGTTCACTGTTCAATGCTACTAAACACTGTCCCTCAGCTGTTAAGCATTTGTAACACGTACAATGGCACCATAGGTGTAGCTTCAGACTTGTGACAGATTATAAAATAAAAGTATATTGAATTTTTTTAATGGGTCTTTGTCTCAGGAAATTCGGAACCATTAAAAATGCCCTGCAACTACCCAAAGTCAACCCCAAAATTATAAGAGGCATGATGGAGTGG